TAAATAAATAAATAAATAATCCTGGAGTATTATTTCTAAGGAAAATTTCCTAACTCCCTGCTTTACAATGTTTGCTGCTCCAGCAAGAAAGGTACTACCTAGAAACTCCATTTAGAAAACCTGTAGCTAGCTATGTCATATGAGAAGATCAGACAACTCCCTCCAACTTTATTTTCACCCGACTTCACTGTACACTTCTTGTCATCAAAAGATGTTAATAACCTAATATTGCTGCATTAAAAGTTCCTATGAAATACACAGGGGAAAAAAGACAAATGGTTCTGGAACAGCTTTTATCAACTTGAGGAAGTAAAACAAACAAAAGCTGAAAAGCTAAAAACCAATATCCAGGGACTCAATTTAAAATTGCAAACTAAAAGCCTTCCTAAAAAGGTGAGTCTTGGCAGAAGGGTTATAGAGAGGGGGGCAACATAGTCTTCAGAGGGATGGCATTCCACAATCTGGGAGCTGCCATAGGGAAGGGCTCCCCCATGTCCCCATCAAGCATACCTGCAATGGGACAGAGAAGAGGGCCTCCTCTGAGGATCTTAAAGAGTTGAGAAGATTCATATGGGAAGATACAGTCCTTCAAATAGCCTGGACCCAAGCCACACACATACAAAACCCAAATAATTATGCCATCAATCTGCTACAGCACTGAAACAAATCAGACTGGCAGTTTTCACTCACAAGTCATGGACCACCTGTGTTTAACTGAACTTAATCTCAAGATAATAGATACCTCTCAAAGAAACACGTAAGCAATAAAGATAAGGCTAGTGGATTTGTTTGAATTACACAATTTTATCACTGTGCATTAGTTAAGGCAGACTGAAATGAAAGCATGCTAAACCTAGTCACTACCAGAAGAGCACCAATAAATTGGTATTCACAGATTGGATGTACTCCTGGATTCATCCCTGAGTCTGGATGCTCAAGTTTTAGTGGTAGCCAGGAGTGCTTTTGCATCGTTAAAACTGGTGCGCCAGCTGCGCCTGTTCCTTGAGATGTCTGGTTTGGCTACAGCGACATATGCCTTAGTTACATCCCACTTGGATTATTGTAACTTGCTGTGACACATGCCTTAGTTGCATCCCACTTGGATGTAACATCTCCACTATGTGGAGCTGCCTTTGAAGAAACTTCTGAAACATCAACTTGTGCACAATGCAGGAGTCAGACTACTGACTAGGGCGAGTTACTGGGAGCATATAACCCTTGTTACAACAACTTTACTGGCTACCAGTCTGTTTTCAGGCTCAATTAAAAGTGCTGGTCATTACCTATAAAGCTCTATACAGCTTGGGTCCAGGCTACCTGAAGAACTATATCTCACATTATGAGCCTCCTTTGTATTTAAGATAATCAGAGAAGGCCCGCCTCTCAGTTTCACTGCCAGCACAAGAGAGGGCTTTCTATGTAGAAGCTCCAAGGTTATGGAATGCTCTCCTTCCGGAGATCAAGCTGGCCCTCTCCTTTTTATCCTACTGTTGACAGCTGAAGGCCCATCTCTTCAGACAGCCTTTTAACAATCATGTTTGAATTCCTGAATGCCTTCTTAGAGTTAAGATAGTTTTCAATGTTTACTTGCTTTTAATTATTCAATTGTATTTTAAATAGCATACTGTTCAATTATTTTTTTAATTATTGTGTTTTTAATTCTATTCTTTTTAAAATTGTGAGCCGCTTTGTGTCACCTTACTGGGAGAAAGGCAGCATATAAATAAAACAAACAAGTAAAATACTGCTGCTGCAGTGGAATCGCCACAGATATAATCTCAATACAATTTAGGCATTCTTCCAAAAATGATAAACTCCCAACTCATTTGTTTAACCCTAAACCTATACACTTAAATCAGCCTAAATGTTCAGATTCTTAAAAGACAGAAAAACCTCATCAAATTTTCAAGGACAGCAGTTTGGTAACTAATAGTACTTTCTCATATTACTTTCACTGCCCAATTACTCCATATAGAATAGCACCACTCGAGGGCTTTTTAACAACCTTGGAAAAAAGTCTCCATTTAACAGACAACAAGGTATCTGTAAAACACTACTGCTTTATTCCAGCAGTATATAGACACAGGCCTATGAGAAGGCAACTTAAATCAGTTGAAATCATCTGGAGATTTTGAAGCCATGTAATAAGAAACTAAAAATACAGATTATTACATCTAATCGTTCAAGACGAAGTAAGTGGGAACAATAGTGTAGGAAAGCTATGACTTTACTGGGTGACGACCTCAGAGATAGGTTATAATGCATATCAACAGCATGATTTAGAGCTGCCACACCCAAAGTCAGTATACCTATGATGACATCCACCTCCCAGTAGAAACAGGAAAAAGAACTAAAGCCAGATTTCACAAAGTTCAAAAAATAAACAGCTGTGAAGCCATACTTAACATATACCAGAGGTCTGCACACACTGGGAGAGCAGGCTGAGATAACAGACCAGATATCAGGAAAATTTAGCTTCCTCAGCACTTGCCAAGGGATGCTGTAAACAAGGAATTTTACAAACGAATAGCTATGCAGGGGAGAAAGAAGCCCGGCAGAATTCCTAACTCCCTTCTCCATTTGGGATGATCAGAGCATCAGCACAGACCTATGCAGTGAAGCACTGTACAAGATGATGCCGATTTCAAGGGCTACCACTTCATGCCATCTAAAAAGCATGCATACAAAACCCAGAGACCGGGGAAACATGTCATGTCATCACAAGCATTCACGACATCGCAAAAACAGCCAAGCATCACACCCTTCTACTTATTAAAAATGAGGAACCGCCATGAAAACAGGAGAGTCCATCCCCGCCTTGTAAAATCTCGGCAATCCCCCCGAGGCGTAACTCAAAAAAGGTTGTGGTCATTCATCCCATGCTCTTTGGAAATAGTGCTGTAAAAATACTTCTCGAAACTCGTGATTTCGCGCTGGTTTCGACATTTGCCCAAGGGGGGGAGAGGAAGGAAACGACGAGAGAAAGGGCAGCAAAAGCAAGGGGAAAAAAGTGAAGCGAAAGTTGCCAAGTGAACTCTCGCCGATGTCTACCCTTAGCATCGCTGACCCGCCCCCTCGCACCATTCTGACGTGCAGAGCCTAAATACTAGAAGAAAGCCCTCACTGGGGGGAGGGGGGAGGAGGCGAAGGGAGCGAGGCGGGAGAAAGGAAAACGCGGCAACAAGGTCACGTCGTTGAAGGCAGCGGAGCCGCTGCCTCTTCTCACGACCACTTGACACGACACCCTCTCAGGCAAAAAAAAAATGCTTCCCAAGCCCTCGAAGGGATTCCTGGGGCTCCCCCGCCCCTCAGCCCCCAAGCGCCAGGCCACAGGGACCCTCCTCTCACCTGGCGGGCTCGATCAACCGCCGAAAAGACCCCAGAGCAGGTCAAGCGGAATCCATAATAACGCTCTCTATCGGCCCGTCAACGCGCAGGCTGGCACAGGAGCTGCGGAAATCCCACCCCCTCGGTGGGCGAGCGAGCCGGCGCATAGGCAGAGCGGACGACGCCCGCGGCGTGGATTGGGCGCTCCCGCCCGTCACTCGCGAGTGGAGGCGCTTTGCGCACGGCTGGTTGCACGTGACGGCTGCTTGGGCAGGGGTGGGGCTAGAGGGGAGGCCCTGCCGCCTAGAGCTGCGGAGGCTGGCCCTGGGGTGAGGGAGGCCGCTGGGGAGCGGGCGGGAGAGAGCCGAGTTAAGCGCCAGCTGTTTCCCCAGGAGCCGGCCTTTTAGATGCCAGAGGCTTCATCCGATTACACAATAGTGTTGTTGTTCCCAAGTGACGTCATGTCGCACTCCACTTATGGCAACCCTTTCAACCTCGTGACCTCCAAAAGGCCCTGCCCTTTAACAGCCCCGCTTAGTTCTTGCGAACTCAAATCCGTGATTTCTTTCTTGAATCAATACACCTCTTATTTCATCATCCTCTTTTCCTGCTGCCTTCAACTTTTCACAATATTATAATTTTTTTCCAGTGACTCTTGTCTTTTCTGGCCAGAGTTTATTC